TGAGAGCGAAGACCAAAGTCCAGCTGAAATGCATGCGGGACTTCCTGTTTGCCGATGATGCACCTGTTGTTGCCCACTCTGCTGAAGACCTCCAACAACTCATGAATTGCTTTAGCAAAGCCTGCCAAAGCTTAACAATCAGCCTGAAGAAAACACAAGTCATGCGCCAGGATCTGGACTCACCTCCCTCTATTACCATCTCCACATAAGATTTGGAGGTTGTTCATGACTTTGTGTACCTTGGCTCAACGATCTCTGACAGTGTGTCCCTAGATGTCAAGCTGGATAAACGTATTGGCAAAACAGCTACCACATTCTCTAGACTCACAAAAAGAGTATGGCTTAATAAGAAGCTAATCACATATACCAAGATCCAGGTCTAGAGAGCCTATGTCCTGAGCACACTCCTGTACTGCAGTCAGTCCTGGACCCTTTGTGCACGACAGGAAAGGAAGCTGAACATCATCCATATGCGTTGCCTCCGACGCATTTTTGGTATCACCTGGCAGGACAAAGTTCCAAATAGAGTAGTCCTAGAACGAGCTGGAATTTTTAGCATGTCTACATTACTGAAACAGTGACGTCTACGTTGGCTTGGGCATGTCGTGAGAATGGCTGATGGTCGAATTCCAAAATATCTCCTGTATGGAGAATTAGTGCAGGGAAATTGCCCCAGAGGGACACCACAGCTGCGATACAAGGATATCTGCACGTGGGATCTGAAGGCCTTAGGAATCAACCTCAACAAATGGGAAACCTTGACATCTGACTGTTCAGCCTGGAGGTAGGCAGTGCAGCATGGCCTCTCCCAATTTGAAGAGACACTTGTCCAGCAGGCTGAGGCAAGGAGGCAGTCCCAAAACCAGCAAAATCAGGGAGCTGGACAGGGAACAGATTGTATTTGTCTTCAGTGTGGAAGGGATTGTCAATCTCAAATTGACCTTCTCAGCCACATTAGACGCTGTTCCAAATCCTCCATTCAGAGCACATTACCATAGTCTCTTGAGACTGAAGGATGCTTTACTAACTAACCACAGCCCTGTATTGGCTGATGCTTCCTCCATCATATGTGAGGCCCTGGGAAGTACCTCTTTGTGCCCTGCCCTTAGAAACATCATTCTTAAGCGATGAAGGAAGTCTATTGTGGCATGAGCTTTTCTACCTCCAGCATCAAGGAAATTAGGTTGCTTTGTCTTTTGATTGGTCATCAGGCAGTAAATATGGGCTTTAATTGCAAGTCTGAATGCTCTGGCATTTGTGGAATTGCTATCAGTGACATAAAGGTTCACAACATAGTCCCATTTATTTTCTGTGGTCTTTAAAAAAATGTCAGCTCTCCCTTTTGCATATGCTTTAGAGGCTAAAGATCATAAATTCCATTCCCTGATGTCTCCAGATAGGGCTGGGAAGGATTGCTATCAGAGACTATGATAGGCCATGGCCAGTTATTGCGGTAGATCAATAGTTCCCAGCTTTTGATCCCTCAGATGATCTTGGATCTCAGCTCCTAGAAGCCCCACCCAGCATTGCTGATGCCCAGGGAATCAGGGAGTTGAAGTCCAACAATATCTGGGATCGCTACAGCTGCTGTAGACAATATAGAACAAGATGAATGCATTTTCTGGCAGCTTCCTCTTGTCCTTGTAATTTCCCAAGTCTGGGTATCTTGTAGGGTGTTTCTGTGCTTCATGAAGACTTAGGTCCTCCTGATGTGTGCTTGTAATTACTGCTACTTCTCTGAAGTGTGACACCGGGATTAGGAGAACATTGACCTAAAAATGCAAGCAGAAAATAAGATGCTGTCTTGTGCATAGATGGGTTACTCATACTCTTCCTGTCTTTCTTAAGGTGATAGAAGAATTGCAGACAGCACCTATGAATAATGATGAAAAGGAACTTCTCCAGCTTCTGTCAACTCCTCATCTCAGGGTAAAAGGCTGCATGCTCAATGGTTCGGGAAAAGGGGGTGGTGCAGCCCAATAATTTCCTGAATGGAGGGAGTGGGAGTTATGTTTTTATCCTTTCTTTATTAGGTCTAGTAGTTTATCATTGCTTAAATCAGCAGCTCACTAACTTGGGGCCCAAGATATTCTTAGACTACGACTCTCAGAAGCCCTAGCCAGCACATCTTGGTCCCCCAAATTTGGGAATGTCATTGGAAAAGTTACATTTTGGACTACAAGTCAGAGTCAGCAGAGCACTAGCCACACTGGCTGGAGGATTCTGGCTCACTAAGAGTGCTACGGCTTTGTGGACTACAAACCTCCCATGCTTTAGGTCTACAAGAGCACTCTTTCCCCTCCAGGTGTGGTGGTGAAATTGGCATTGCTGAGTGGATCAGTTATAGAATGCTTAAAAAAAACTCCACCCAATCCAGAATGACTGATAGTGCTACTGATCAAAATGCATTGTTGAGCTGCTCCGTCTTTGCTTCCTTAACATTTTTCTGAGGTAATAAAACAGAAGGAAGAAGGGAGGAGAAGTTGCAGCTGGACCTGTGGGAAAAGAAGTCACTCCATAGCAGGGTGATGCACAACAAAAGCATCATCTAGAGGACCCTAAAAGACATCAAGTGGCCATTCTGGCTGGTATACGAACCCCACACACGACAGAGGTACTGAAGAACAGACGTGCTACATTGACACATTTCTGTGTGCACCACAGCTAGTGGTCGGTTTTTTACAGTCGTGCCCCGCTGGACAATTACCGCGTATAATCCATTCTGGCTGGTATACGAACCCCACACAAAACAGAGGTACTGAAGAACAGACATGCTACATTGACACATTTCTGTGTGCATCACAGCTAGTGATCGGTTTTGTACAGTCGTGCCCCGCTGGACAATCACCATGTATAACGACGAATCCTCTTAACGTTGAAGTTTTTGCAATCGCTTCTGCAATGGCAAAACAGTGGTTTAAATGGGTTTCTTTCATTTCATGATGATCAGTTCCCTGCTTCGGGAACCAAATTTCACTTTACAACAATCAGCAAACAGCTGGTCGTCAGGTTTCAAAATGTTTGCCAGCTGAAGAAAATGCCTCCCCGCTGTTTTTAGGACTGATTTTTTGCTTAACAGGCACTAGAAAATGGCCGCCGTATGGAGGATCTTCACTGGACGAGCAGGTATTCAGCCCATTGGAACGCATTGAACGGTTTTCAATGGTTTTTTAAAAATTTCGTTTGATGACGTTTTTGCTCTACAGTGATTTCGCTGGAACGAATTAACACCGTCAGGCGAGGCACCACTGTATTTGAAAAGTGCCAGTGGGTGCAGTAGGAACAGAGAGAAGAGATGGAACTGGAGCTTAACTTTCCATTCTCTCCCACCTGCCTGCTCAAAATTGGCTTGCTCCTCTCCCTCCTATCCCTGTGAAGAGATAAAATATGTTATGGAAGATTAAGGGACATCATTGCAAACAGTGGGATGTAAGACAGGATGGGAGAGAGTTGAGGGAAAAGAGAGGGAGGAATAGAGAAGCTGGGAAGAGCATTCATAGGAAATCTGTAACGGGAAAACAGCATAGCAATTGTCTGGTATTGGAAAGAGATCAGATTTGGCGTCAGAAAACCTTTACTGGGGAAGGAGTGCCAGAGTGGGCCGTGCAACTGAGATGGTGCTCTCTGCAGTCACTTACCTGGCTATCATGGAGCCTTCCTGATCCTTCACATCACCCCTGGAGTGGGGCCAGAAGGCACACAGGTGTGGGCCTTGTCAGCAGCTGCCCCTGGGACTGGGATTCTCTTCCTCTGAATGTGTAGCCATGTGGCTCACCCCTAATTCTCCAGGGGAGGATGAGACTGTTCTAAAAGACATTTTAAAATATGACTGTTTAACTGCCTGTTTCTTGCTCTTGCTGGGCACGCAGTGGCTCTGCTGCTACTTGAGTTTCTAAAGTTCTTTATGTGCTTTTCTTCCTGTGCTTTTGGTTGAGGCTGATTAGTAATTTTATGATATAAAGCCAGGAGCGTGATAGGTTTTATTTTGGGATTTATTAGCAAGTTGTCTTGGATGTCTTGTATGGCAGAAATAGGGAAAGACTTTAAAGAGTCCTTGGTTCTGTGTTGTGGAGGGGAGAGAATTTAATCACAGAACATGAATCGGCAGTCTGTCCATGTTCAGAAGAAATCTCATTTTTATCATTACTTGGAGTTCGTGGCATTGAAACCAGCCAAATGTTGGTTTTAATCCCTCACTGAGTGATAGTTTTATTCTTCTCTTCATTGTGTTTATTCAAACCTACATATTCCTTTAAACCCATTGTTTCATGTCTTGCAGCATTTGATGCAGAATATAAATGGCTTCTCCCCCTTGTTAGCATGAAACCTTTATTCTCCCACTCCAGGAGGGAGGTGTGCATTCGCCTTCCGTTTAGAGTTGAATAGGCAGATAATAAATGGGGTTTTAATAACTTTTACCGAGCGCTATAAGATATGAAGAGAGTGATTTTCAAATGAGCTCAAATTGCAGAGGTCTTTAACGGATTTAGAAAGAGACAGGAATTCAAGGTAGCACAGAGTTGTTTTTATTGAGTGGTTCAGATCATTTGCAAAAGAAACAGAAATTAAAATTGATTATGCCTAATAAAGGCAATAAGATCTTCTCCAGCTGGCTGGGAGTGGGAGGAATGGGGGAGAAGAGTGCATGTATATAACTATATGTAATTACACACATACAGACACACAGAGAGAAGTATATCGAAGAAATATATCTTTAGAGTATGAAAAGTGTGTGCTTATATAACATTCACAGAATGACATTTTTCATATGTATGTTTTGGATATTTTGTTTTACAAACACTCATTGGAATTATGGAGGAGTAGGGAGAGTTGCTTGCAAAGTACGGTAATTCAGAGTGGATTAAAAAAAGACGTTGAGAGCGGTTAAGCATCCTTTTCCCACTGCTTCTCAATCCCTTATAATTTCCACTGGAACGATGTTTTCCTGCTTTAAAATGGCCAGTGAGCTACTGGTGTATGAATTTGTGTGTGATGTAAATTCAAACAAAGCCTAGGTATGTGCAACTGCATTCACTTAAAAGATACTCCTGGTTGCTGGTGTCTTTGCCATGTCTGAACCAAAGCCCTTCTCTTCCTGTTTTCCTAGTGGAACTGCACATGCTTTGCATGAAGACAATCCCAAGTTGATTTCCAGTTCAAAAAACCCAACAGGGTAGCAGATAGTGGTAAAGACAGTCTGCCAGCTGTTAACAGAGTAGACGGTGTTGGACTAGATCAGTGGTTCTTAACCTGGGTGATATCGGGGTGATTTCGTTTTTCAGAGGGGCGATGGAATGAAAAGGGGCAACGCGGGGGCGAAGGAACAGAAAGAGGGCAATATGGGGGCAATGGAGCGAGCCAAACTTGAGAAGGCAGCTGCAGCCGCAGTGCTGGCAACGGATCTGGCAGGCGGATCCAGAGCAGCCGGTGCTGGCAGCGGATCTGGTGCCTCCACTGCCACCCCGCTGCAGGGAGGGGGGCGATGATAACTTCCTCAATGGCTCAAGGGGGCGTTTCTTTCAAAAAGGTTAAGAACCACCGGACTAGACGAACAAATAGTAGCACTAAGCCAGAGTTGCAAAAAAAAAAAAAAAAAAAAAGTTTTTTGGTAACAAGCAAATACGATGGTGATCCAGGTTTTCTGGATCACTCACATTTCTCTTTTGATATTGGCAATGGGTTAAGAAAACCGTGAAAACTCTTTTGATTTTGGCTTGTTGCTCATCTAACAAGAGAGAATCTGAAGCCATTTTGTTGGGTGAGGCCAGAGTTTGGAAACATGTGCTTTTTGGGCTTCTACTTTTAGAATTCCAAAAAGGGGAACATTTCCAAGGTAAGGGATGGGCAAGCCAGAATTTCCAGTTCACCTAGAGATGGTGAAGGTATGGCCTTTCAGGTAGTGTTCAATTAAATCTTTGAATATGGCTTCACTGAAATGTCTATCCTGTTTCACTATCGGCTCTGCTGGCTAGAAATTGTTGCATGTATAGCCGAAAAATAGCTAGTAGGGGCTCAACGAACCATTGACAAGCAGTTTCCTAGCTTGCAATAGCCACTCCTGCCGATAGCCAGTGGAAAGAATTAAGCAGTATGCATTTCTGCATTGCTTGTTGCTAAGTCACCCACAGTTCCCCATAATTTTGGTTCATCATTATGTGCAATTGTGTTCCACTCCCCCTCAGCAGAGTTTAAATTTTTGATCGTACCTTTATCAGAGCATGTCTTTTCTGCTCACTTTGTATGTTTATAAAGTAGTGTACATATCAATGATGAACAGTGGCCTCCAAAGGGGATCTTTGTGGCACCTTGCCCGAGAGACAAAATTTGCAAAATTTTATCTTTTGAACCATAGCTTTTCAAATCCCCCAGAAGCTGAAGAGTTCTGGGAACTACAGTAAAAAAAAGTAACTTTTCTAGCTCTGCTTGAAGTACTGCTGGTTGGACACTGTTCAAATCTCTTTTCCTGTTCATACAACCCCAGATGGCCGAGTTGATGCTGGAACATCAAGTTCTTGGCCGAGGTTCAGTTTTTTATTGGCTTCTAATACCTCCGTTTGAGAATTTCTAGGATGTAGATCTGTATTGTTCCCACCTATCCACTTTGCACCCCTTCCATCAATATGCATTTGCTTGTTCAGAAGTCAACTTATTCTTTGAACTGTGGAAAAGTACTTCCTTTATGCTTGAGTCCGATGCAGCTTTTGTGGCTGGCTGCCAGCTTAGATCCATTGTATGAAATATTTAATGATACCAGGCAAGCACTGATATTATGTTCTTTCTAGATTTATCTCCAGTCTAATAAAACATGCAGGAACAGCGGGGAAAGGCAATTTAAGGGAGAAATAAAGAGAGGAGACTAAAGAAGGCAGAGTTTTTGCACACGCACATGCACACACACACACAACATGTGCACTAGGCAGATGGTCTCTTACCAGGGTCTGGTAAGGAAATTATTGCTCTCATGACCACAAATATCTGCATTGCCTTTTGTTGTAGATTCATAAAAGCAGGTTGTTGAGGAGGAATTTTACAGATCTGGGTTAAGGCATGCTGGTTATATCAGCTTCAAGAGGCTGTATTAATGATACACCTCAAAGTGTATTGTGCTAACAAAAGATTATATTAAAAATATATTTCGAAGCCTCTCAAAATCTGAAACCCTAAGTTCTAGCTTGCTTAGCTTGTATATAAAGCTAGAGATAGAATAAGAAAAGCCTTGGATTCTGATATCTCTCTGTGGTAGTTGCCTTCAGTTCTATAAATTTCAGCTTTACTCCCTTTCTCTTGCACTCTATTTGACTTTAGGTTCATTTTGTTCTTGTTTTGCATCAGCTTGCAAGGCAGTCTTACGTATATCCACTAATGCAAACATTTGATGACATACTAGATTGTAGGATACAGTAGAATAATCCTCCCCAAGACAAGAAAAAAAAAGAAAAGAAAAATGGGGGGCCTCCCCAAGGTTGCTAAGCTGTTGTCTGTTCTTCAGTGTAGAGCATACTCTCCTGGATATGACCCGGCTGCTTCTGGAGAGGAGTGGCTACCCCTTCTTCCCCTTTCTCATAGAGATAGAGAGCTACCGTATTTTTCGCACCATAAGACACACTTTTTCCCCACAAAACAGGGGGGTGGAAAGTCTGTGCGTCTTATGGAGCGAGGAAAACAGATTATATTTTCCTGTTTTCTTCTCCTATAAAATTGGTGTGTCTTATGGAAAGGTGCGTCTTATGGAGCGAAAAATACGGTTACTTCAAAGCCTTTCTTTGGCCAGTCCTAATTGGCATTTTTTAACCGTGCCCTATCAGTATACTGTCAGCTATCTGTAAGCTTAATAAAAGGGAGTCCTCCTGGGGGCGTTGCCCCAGAAAGGTGGACGGGCAGGAGGACTCTGCTGGCGGACATCTCTGTGTGTGACTGACTTCTTTAACTTCTCTCTCAAAGACTAATTGCTTTCTTAATGACTTGTGATCACCTAAACCATCAGCCTTCTCATTCCGTGACCACTACAGAAAAAGATAGCTGCCTTTTTACCTTGAAAGAGTATATTAAAACAACAATCTTAGAATTAAAAATGAAGTTCTGTAACAAAATGTTGCAGTATGGAATGTGTCTGCTCAAGATTCCAGCCAATCCATTCTATTCCTCCCCAGTTACCTGCCCCCTTTGAGCAGTCCCATAGTATTCCAGCCCACTGAGCAGGCTCAAGTTTACACTGGGCTGTTCTACTGTATGTTGCAGGGGCACAATCCCAGCTACATCCAGTTCTTGGATGTTTATGTTTTTATTGCATAGTTGATCAATTGAGAGCCACAAAATTTAGTTTAGCAGCAATTTAGTTTGGAAACAATCTCACAGTACTTTCAATTTCCACTTGGTTCAGAATAATTTGGAATATGCAGCTGATGACCAAACTAAGGTACACCTCCAGAGATTATTTTAAGGGGGAAAGTCAACCAACTTGATTGAAAAACAACAAAACCCTCATTTTCTGGAAGGATAAACCCTGGGATAAAGATCAATCTTATGAATACTTTTCTGTGTTAATGAGTTTTATTTCTTTGTTTTCCTAGCTATCACCTATTTAACTTGTAGTCCTGGAGATAAACAAGATTAAAAAGAAACATTTGTGGTTCAAAACGGGGCTGGATGACTTGTTGATAACTTTATTGGAACTAATGCTGCTGCTGAAACGTTTGAGAGGGTTTTGCTCTTTGTTGTCAATATTCTGTGGTTTGATGATAATTTTGGATTATTTTTAATTGCATTTTCAGAGGATTAGTGTGAAAGCAGGATTCAAGGTTCATCCAGGCGCAACTAGGGGAATAGCAATTTGAAAAAAGATAACCAGTGTATAAACAAATTAAAGTTCTTGTCCTCTAGAAATAGTTTCCAGGCAAAGAGAGTGGCTGCATAGTTTTTGCTGGAAGCTCAGATCTTAAAGGGGGACTGTCTTGTTGGGAATGCATCTGTCAGAGCCTCCCAAACTTTGGACTGACAAGGAAGTTTGCCAAGCTCAGCTGAAGCATCCATGTACTGAGACAGCTTGCTTGGACATCTGCTGGAATGGAAGCTCCAGTACAGCTTTCTGTAACCTGGCACCTTTCTGATTTGTCCCTAATGTTTCTCTCCCACAAGATGGCCATTCTGCTTGTTGTGTGCGCATGCTGGGGTAAGGTTGTGGTCTAATACACTTGGGAGCGGCCATATTGGTGAAGTACACCATAAGACATTCCCATTTCCACATGCTGTGTTACTCTTTCTCATGCCCTTTCCCTTTCCCCTCATCTCCCCAAGGCGATGCTTGTTGTACATGACACCGTTGCCCAGAAGAATTTTGACCCTGTCCTGCCTCCTTTGCCTGAGAATATCGATGATGACTTTGAGGAAGAATCAGTGAAAATAGTTCGTCTGGTGAAAAATAAAGAACCACTGGTATGTACGTAAGAGAGGTAGGTTGTGATGGATGGAGGAAAAGGATTAGGATGAATGATGGGCATGAAAAACCAATTTGTCTCAGTTCATTTACTGCTGCAACAGATTTTGGGCTGCAGAGAGAACAAACCTATCCATTTTGAAGGAAATCAACCCTGAGTGCTCACTGGAAGGACAGATCCTGAAGCTGAGGCTCCAATACTTTGGCCATCTCATGAGAAGAGAAGACTCCCTGGAAAAGACCCTGATGTTGGGAAAGTGTGAGGGCAAAAGAAGAAGGGGAACGACAGAGGATGAGATGGTTGGACAATGTCATCGAAGCTACCAACATGAATTCGACCCAACTCCGGGAGGTAGTGGAAGACAGGAGCGCCTGGCGTGCTCTGGTCCATGGGGTCACAAAGAGTCGGACATGACTTAACAACTAAACAACAAAATGAATCAATTTACACAAGAGTTTAGGAACCTCGTACCCTAGCTTCCATTGTGACCCTTCTCAGGGTTGCAATCAGTCCATTGGGGCTTTCCCAAATGGCCAGTTTCTTGTCTTTTACCACAGCACCATAATTTGGTGGTTACTTTCCTTTTGTAGAGTTTTTTTTTCCTCGTTTCATAATACTGAAGTACCTCTCTCTTGGCTTAGTTATTGGCAACCAGAGCTTTAAATATTCTGCTATTTTTAGTTGTGTTCATCTGCATTTATTCCTGCCCACCACCGAAAGGTGGCTTCTGAAAACTTTTTAAATATTAAATTTGGCTCTGAAACACTGAAAGAGGTGCCCTCTTGTGATTTTGACATTGTCTGATTAAGTATATCTGTTTTCTTTATTCTGAATTTAAAACCATTCCTTTTTTTCATTGGTGACCTTTTTTTAGTCTTAGAAATGTTGTGGGCTTGCAACCTTGATGTTAAAACCATTCACGCTCTGCCTGAGTGAAAAAGAGCTAGAAGTTGGACTGTTTAGAAGGGTCTCACTCAACACTTTATTGTCCACTTCTTGGGCTCTGAAGACAGGGAAGTGTTTTGTGCACAATCAGCTAAGGAACTCATATGACTGTTCTGCAGTGCTGGCCCTAACATTGGGCAGAATGTGGGAAGCTCTTTAAAAACAGTAAATATAGTGATACTGTATATGAAACTATTCATATCTGAGCAATGGTAGGATTCCAATATCAAGAGCATTGTTCTGCTATTGTGCAGTCATGAATGGCTGGAGTTTTAGAAGAAAAATAGTTAATTGTATTTAACAAAGCACTTTGAGTATTTTTGTATCTTTTGAGACTTGTAGACTTGTAGCAATAAGAAACACACATTAATGTATTCGCGAAGGCTTTGCTGTCCTCTGAAGATGCCGGCCACAGAGACTGGCAAAACGTTAGGAAAAACCACCTTCAGAACACGGCCAAGAAGCCCGAAAAACCCACAACCAAACACACATCACTTCAAAAGCATGCGTATTTGTAAACTTTTGGAGAAATAATATGCACATCGAAATAATGTGCCCATTTCAAAATATGTCTGAAAATATACATCTTTAAAAATACTGTATGTAAAAACACATTTGCATCTTTTTAAAAAAGAGCTACAGGCCATGTAACCTCATGCCTTATAAAGCTTGCTTGTTTTTAATGTGCCACAAGACTCCTTGTTGCTGTTAAAGCACTTGAGTTAATGGGAAAAGTTGTGGAATTTAGGTAGAATCTGAAAATAAATCCATATGTTTGGAAAAATGTGTTAGAAAAATTCTCAAAAATTCCAATGTCAGAAGGCGGCATAAATACAGCACAACACAATGCAGCTATTTGGGGAGAAACAATAAAATTGAAATAGTTTTTTTCTATCCTCAGCTTCAGTGTTTTTTTTAAAGTAAAAGCAAAACAGTTGTGGAATTTAGGTAGAATCTGAAAATAAATCCATATGTTTGGAAAAATGTGTTAGAAAAATTCTCAAAAATTCCAATGTCAGAAGGCGGCATAAATACAGCACAACACAATGCAGCTATTTGGGGAGAAACAATAAAATTGAAATAGTTTTTTTCTATCCTCAGCTTCAGTGTTTTTTTTAAAGTAAAAGCAAAACTCTGCATACAGTGGGGTCTTGACTTGAGAACTTAATCCGTATTGAAAGGCTTTTCTATCCTCAGCTTCAGTGTTTTTTTTTAAAGTAAAAGCAAAACTCTGCCATTAGGCAGAGTGAGGGAAGTACCATATATAGGTTTTTTCATGAAAGGGCAGCAAATTGTTAGCTACTTAGTTATCATTGTCATATTTTTATTGCTTCAGATGCAAAGAGGTGCCTGTAGAATCTTCTGCCTCATGTGCCAAAATAATTTGACTGGTTTTCAGTACTGGATGGACCTTGGCTTGCTGTGGGAGAGTTGCTATTTGCTACTCCTTGCCTCAGGGACCAGAATGTTTTGGATTGACCCTCCTTTCTTGAGCAGATGAAGTGCAGGGATGCTTACATTTTTAGCAGGGACAGTAACACCGTCAGGATTTTATTACAACTCCCCCTCATTCTTTCTTTAAGACAACTTTTTCCTGCTTTTCTATGACAGCCCTGATGTCCCCTGTCAGGTCAGTCTTGCTCCAAAATGTTTTACAAAATGCAGGCTCTTTTTATGTGAGGCACTGTGGGCGTGGATGTGGGCAAGATGGCTTCTAGTGGAGGATGATCACTACTGCCATAGGAGATAGCAGCAAATGCTAGCCACATTCCAGTGTTGAAGTAACATGCTAGTTCTGCCCCTCCGATGACTGTTTTTTCACATTGAAGCAAAAGTTTGAAGAAGACATCCTGCTTTACTTGTGGAGGCGCTACTCGTCAACCAGAATGTAAAAAAAGCTGGTTCATGGTTGGAATCTCTGCAAACATAACGAGGGTTCCTCTTCTGACATCCATTGTCATGTGAGGAAAATTACAGAGGGGATGGGGTTAGGGTGTTCAACTCATCACATGGTATGTGCATGCTTTTAAAACATGTGGATAAGGCTAGTGCTAGAGCAATAAAGAAACGTGGTGATAATGGCAGTGGTGGTTAATGTAAATTTTAAAAACCTTCTCATTTGCTGCAATTTGTGCCTGCTAAAATGTAAGTCCTCCTCCAATAAGAAAGTCATCTGGTCTTCTCTAGGCAGCCCCCACCCCACCCCAATTTCTCCACTTCTCTGTAAAGGCTAAGAAGGAGAAATGTAAGTTCACTTCCCAAAAGCTACTCCCAAATCTCATCAAGGGCTCTTCAATCCACTTTGTTCTTCCTCTCTTTTCTCCCCCTTCTCTCATTTCTGTGAATGTGATAAATTTCTTACGAGAACATTTGGTACAGCCTTATTTATGCCCCTCTGGATCAGCAATAAATGAAGGACAGACCCCCAAAAGTATTTCCTCAAACAAAATAAGATTGTTATGGTTTATGGTTTATTGAATTTCTTAGATGCCTGCTTCTTTTTTAAAAAATGCAAGAGAGGCACAAGGCATCTTGCAAAAAATAAAATATATAAAACTCAAAACTATATATCTTATAATTATAAAAATATACCAAAGATGTCAAATTATATGCAAGTAAGTTATCTGCTCCCAAATCAATTCTTACTTATGGCAACCTTCCCAGGATTTTCTAGGCATAAGGTTCTCGAAAACAGTTGATCAGTCCCTTATTCTCATGGTGCTCTAGCACCATGCAGTTTGTCTTAAGACTGCACAAGCTGGCTCTTCAGTGGAGGATTGAACTACTGTGTTTCCCTGAAAATAAGGCAAGATCATATATTAATTTTTGCTACACAAAGCCTTAGGGCTTATTTTCAGGAGATGTTTTATTTTTTTAAATGTACAACAATCTACATTTATTCAAATACAGTCATGTCATCTTCTGGTTGTTGCTCAATGGTGCACAATGGTGGGTGGTGGGGTTTCACTTAACTAGGGCTTATTTCTGGGGTAGGGCTTATATTACAAGCATCCTAAAAAAATCATTTGTTGTTATTTAGTCTTTAAGTTGTGTCTGACTTTTCGTGACCCAATGGACCAGAGCACGGCAGGCCTTCCTGTCTTCCACTGCTTCCCGGAGCTGGGTCAAATTCATGTTGATAGCTTCAATGACACTGTCCACCCATCTTGTCCTCTGTCGTCCCCTTCTCCGCTTGCCCTCACACTTTCCTAGCATCAGGGTCTTTTCCACGGAGTCTTCTCTTCTCATGAGATGGCCAAAGTATTGGAGCCTCATCTTAAGGATCTGTCTTTCCAGTGAGCACTCAGGGTTGATTTCCTTCAAAATGGAAAGGTTTGTTCTCCTTGCAGTCCAGGGGGACAATTCAAAAGCATCAATTCTTCGGCAGTCAGGCTTCTTTATGGTCCAGCTCTCACCTCCATACAACACTACTGGAAAAACCATAGCTTTGACTATGCGGACCTTTGTTGGCAAAAATCATACTAGGGCTTATTTTCAGGTTAGGTCTTATTTTCGTGTAAACAGGGTAATAACCCCGTACCCAAATGCTTCAACACACTGAGCTATCCAGTCAACTATGTAAAATCATAGGGATAATAAACTGGCATAATTCTAATATTTTAAAATTAGCTAGTCATATGTCCATGAACAGAGAAACATTTTAATCTAGTGCTGAAGAGACAGTAGTGTCAGAAGCAGGTAGAGCTCCCTGGGATAAGCATTCCATGGATGGGAAGAGACCTCAGATATTGCTCTTAAGATACAAACAGATTCTGAAGATGTATTCTATCAGGTACTGTGCTCCCAATATGTGTAAAATATTATAGGTTAAAATTATCATTTCTGAAATAGTAGTTTAATTTAGTTCTGTACAATCTGGAGATGACTCTCACCTTAGTTATTTCTAAAGCAGTGTTTCCCAACCTTGGGTAACCCAGGTGTTCTTGGACTTCAGTTCCCAGAAACCCTGGCAAGCACAACTGGTGGTGAAGACTTCTGGGAATTGCAGTCCAAGAATGCCTGGATTTTCCAAGGTTGGGACCCAGTGCTCTTAAGGGAAATTAGAAAATTTCATCAAGAAAAATAATCGAGCAGTGGGCTACTATCTATCATAGTGCCCCTGGAATGCTGCTGGAAACAAGCCCTTGTGGGTTTTCTAGAATAATGTGCTTAGGCTTTCTATGAAATCATTAAATCAGCTTCCTCTAGCTTGGCATCCTCCGTATGTTTTTGATTGAACTTCCTATAATCCTGAGCAGCCTTGGTCACAGGAATTATGGGAATTGTTTGGAGGGCATTAGGTTGCAGGAGTGGACTTTGGGTTTAATTGTGCACGGCTGCCTATATGTGGACTAGACAAGAAGCACAAACTGATAGGCATCTTCTTTCCAATCTAGGGTGCAACAATCAGGCGGGATGAGCACACAGGGGCTGTGATTGTGGCCCGGATCATGAGGGGAGGAGCAGCTGACCGCAGTGGTATGGTTCTTCACATAGCAGGTGTTTTTCTCCTTTATGCTGAAGTTAGAAAGTGGAAGTACTCCTTGGATTGATTTAGGATTTTATGGGGAGTGGTGCTCTAAATAATTTCACTGGACCAATTCAAGGGCTTGAAGTGATATTGCCCCACTCCCAGTCTTGTCAGTGAATGTAGCACTGAACATATGTTTTGTATGCATAGATCTGAAAATAGTTGAGATGCTCTTCTAGTTCTTTCCAGCTTAGCAGCTTCTTGTTAGAATCTGACTGCGCCATTACGCAAGATGATATTATTCAGCCTACTCTTAGAGAGAAACCTTCAGTTACTTAGTTCCCACAGGTAAAAAAACTTCAATTTTTTCCTCCTTGGAAAGTGAGTTTATGAAAGTTTTTGTGTATTTCTTGCATTTTGGAACCTTTTCTGAACAAAAAACACATTTTGTGTAAAAAGTATTTTGTTAAAAAAAAGAACCCACACTTGTATTTTATATAAAATACAAAGCTTTATGGGTGAAAATACAGAGGTTTTATGCTGTATACAACTTTTTTTTGTACTAATACTGGTTCTGGTGAAAAGTGCTGTTATTTTCACTTGTTGAGGAGCATGTCTAAAATTTTGCAGTTGCTGACTATTTTTGATGGGATGTCTCGGTACATGAAAATAAGGTTTTTTTAGTTAAGGGCAAGAATGTTTTGGAATATATCTTGTATCTTTAGTGAGCGTTGCAGCTAGGTCTTGACAGCAAGAGCAAAAGGGTGGGTATCAACAAGAGGTTCTGACAAGAATGGCTTCCGGAGTGGGCAGCTTGTGGCCATGTAGAAGTTGATGAACTGCAACTCCTTTCAGTCCTGGTTAGCATATCTGGCAGTGAGGGATAATGGCAGTTGCAGTCCAGCACCCAAAGGGCCATCGTCAGCCATCTGTGCAATATGTGGAACCTTTCCTGTTCTAGAAAGGATAGTTACTTTTTAATATTTTTCTCTTTTCTTCCTCCTAGGACTTGTCCATGTTGGAGATGAACTGCGAGAAGTCAATGGCATTGCTGTGCTTCACAAACGTCCAGAAGAAATTAGCCAAATTTTGGTATGTTTTCACTATTCCACTCTTAAATGCTAACTCACTAAGCTTTCAGTATTTACAGTGCAATATTAGAGAGACCTACTTGAAACTAAGCGCAGTACAGCTTTTGCCTAGATATGTGGGATATGCCCCATTGTAACTGACCTGTGAACTTTCTGGGAATCTGGTATCTTACTAAAAAATAATTTGCATGTGTTTTTGTACATGGAAATAAGGTAGCATATGTCTACTCCTTCTGATGTATGCCTGATAAACCAGTAATATTGCAGGGCTAGTCTAATTTTCTCCCAACACTGGTTCTCCAGCATACTAAAGATCATTTTGTTGAAGGGCCAAAGTAAACATGCAGTGAGAGATCCATGATTGTATCTCCTGCCATCTACCGTATTTTCCGTGTATAAAACAACACTTTTTCCTAAAACAATTAGAGGAAAAATTGAGGGTTGTTTTATACATGGAAGGAGGTGGAGGCAAATGAGCAGCCGTGCTCAGCTGCCTCTCATAGCTGCCTATTGACTGCTGCCTCTGCCGTCCAATTGCCTCCTCCAGTGCCACTGCTGGGTCTCACCTCCAGCTCACATCAGCGTCTTGTTCCCTGCCTGAAGGGAGCCTGCGAGTGATGCTGGAGGAGGTGATCCAGTGGTGGAGGCAGCAGCAGGAGGAGGCAGAGATGGAGTGAAAGAGAGGAGCCGTGCTTGGCTGCCTCTCACTGCTATCTATTGACTGCCACCGCCGCTGTCAGATCGCCTCCTCTAGTGCCACTTGTGGGCTTCGTTTGGGCAAGGGACGAGGCAGCGACGTGAGCTGGGGGTGAGCCCCGGCAGTTGCACTGGAGGAGGTGATTGGGCTGCAGAGGCAGCAGCAGCAGGAGACGGAGGTGGAGGAGCAGCCACGCTGGGCTGCCCCTTGTGGCTGCCCATTGACTGCTCCTCCACCTCTGTCAAGGGTCAAAATTAGGGAGTTGTCTTATACATTGGGGGGGGTCGTATACATGGAAAAATACAGTACAGTGGTGCCTCGCTTAACGGGCGCCCTGTTTAACGATGAAACCACATAGCGATGAAGATTTTGCGATCACAAAAGTGATTGCATTGCGATGTTCCCTATGGGGAAAAATCGCTTTGCGATGATCGGTTCGCTGTTTCACTTACCGATCATCGCATAGCGATGATTTTCCCACAGCTGATCGGCGGTTCCAAAATGGCCTCCGGGTAAAAAAAAGGGCCGCCCGCTGTGTTTAGGGACGGATTCCTCGCTTACCGGGCAGCGAAAATGGCTGCCGTATGGAGGATTTTCACTTTAAGGTGAGTTTTAAGCCCATAGGAATGCATTGAAGGGGTTTCAATGCATTCCAATGGGCTTTTTAAAATCGCATAGCGACGAGATCGCTTTGCAGCGATTTTTGCTGCACGGATTAACGTCGCTATGCGAGGCACCACTGTATTTGGTCAGAAGTAACTGCATGGAAAAATCAGCTGAAAAAAGTCGCTATGCGAGGCACCACTGTATTTAGTCAGAAGTAACTGCATGGAAAAATCAGCCACTTGTTAATGGCTGGGCATTTGCTTGACATGCAGAAGATCCCAGTTTCAGTCCCTGGCATCTGCATGGAAAAAGATCTTGGGCAGCAGGTGATGGAAAAGACCCATTCCTGCTTGACCAGAATAGGTGCTACCAGTCAGTGCAGACAATGTTGGCTTAGGTGGAGAAATAGTCCAACATGGTATAAGAAAGCTACCTATGCTCTAGAATTCAGTAGTTCCAGTATAAATCAGTTTAGTTTGTTCTCTCCTTCACTGCTATCTGAATCTTAGGACGACACTCCCCTCATTACCCCAACTAGTAACCGTGCATGCTGGTAATGATAGGGGCACCACCACCTCACCACTTAGAACAGAGTATGAGCTATAGTACAAGAGAGCACTTTAACTGTGTCCTGTATATTATTCCTCTTCTACCATTTTGTCAGAAAGTCTGATGCCTGAACAGCTTCTATAGAACTCTAGAGAGAGAGAAAAAAAATCAGAAGCCTGTGTTCATCTCAGCTGGTATTTATCCCATTTAGGGTTAATTCCAGAATGGGGAAAAAACAATTCCAATCATATCAGAATCCATCTGGGTATCTAGGGAAAAATAAGGAGTTTCCTTGTTGCAATGATTCCAGGCAAAATCAGCTTATCTATGTCTACAGGCTTTGTATTTATTTTCTGTTCTGTATTATCAAAATACTGTACTTAAGAATTGTTGAAAACATGTACAGTTTTGAGAAGTTGCAAGCACATTTCAGATGTAGTGAAATCAAACTTACAGCATTGAAAAAGCTGTGGGTGCAGACATTTGAAAGACTAGCTAAAGTCTTGCAGCTGTGAAAAAACTATAGGCACAAATATTAGAAAATACGTGGAAACCTAAGTCATAGGAAAATGCTTAGATTTCAGTACAAAATAAAGGAGCGTAAAAGGTACAATAAAAATATTGCAAAATATGTTTTCATTATTTTTTAATAATGTAGGAGCTTAAAGCCTAAAAAGGCACAATCAAGAGCAGAGAATATATCTCCAAAACATCAAACTTCTTAAAAGTAAGACTATGAAAGAAAATACATTGATTAGCCTTTAAGATATACACAGAAAAATATTCCAAGTGCTCACCCAGCCAAACCACTTTGACTCTATGGGGGAAAATCCATCATGTCTTTGCTACTGCTATTTTGCTGCTTCATGTTACTGCTCTTTGATGTCTGGTGTCTAGTGTCAGTATTGTTGTTATCTGGTGTATGTGGTATGTCATGTCATGTGTGTGTCTTTTATCTCCCTATATTTATATTTCTCTCAGTTCTTTACATTTCCCTCCAGTTGTAAACTGAATTTTGCTTGTGTAGTAAATTGCTGATCTATATAAATGATCAGAATTTTTTTAATGGAAATCTCTATTCCTTTTACTGTACTAAGGTAGCAAATTTGTAAGGCAGCAACTCCTTTTTTTATATTTTTTTACTTGGGCTCTTGCATTTGCTGTAACAGCTAACTGGTTCCATAATAATTTACTTGGATACTGTTTTACTGGGTAGTCAAAATGCCATGACCATAAAGTGCTGGTGAATTAACTGGGCCAGGTACCAATTTGTTCTGTCTGCATTTTAAGACTCTAAGAGTCCCGTCCCCCCACCATGTTATGGTTTTCTTTCCAATGTTATGTATTTCTTATCATTCGTTTACATCCACGCTCATGTTTTAAGTAATTAAGAAAGATATTTTTTTTCCAAGGAAGTGTTACTTTGATCCTGCTTTCAGATTTGGCTGGAGATCCGGCTGACTGTTTTGCAGTGACCCCTACTATACAGCTGTTCAAACCCCACTTTTAACGCACAATGTACATGTGTATGGCTGTGTTTTCCACAGTTCCCCTAGTCATTTTAGAACTCACTATACAATCTCAAACCCAGACTGTTTAGTGAGGCCTGCTGCAAAAGGAGGATAGTTACTCCTTCTCAAGTTACAGTAATAACATAATGATGATACTTTAGCTGTGGGAAAAGTAGCAGCAATGTTGTGAGTCACTAGCTACAAATAGTTACTTGCAATTAATTGTTTATTGTAAGTTATAAGTTATTTCTAACGTCTGGAAAGGCAGCAAACTCCAAGAGGGTATGAAACACTGTTTCTGCAGTGCTGAATGTCATTACTGAGAAGTAATTTCCAGAGAAGGTTTTTGGTTGGGAACATGACTTCCCTTCTGTCCTAGTGATGCAGAAACTGTATTTAACATGCCAGTTTTGGCACAGCATTAATTATAGAATGACAAGTCAACTTCTTCCATTGCAAAGAAGAGATGACTTGCCCAGCAACTCCTACTCGGGAGCATGGAGAAATGCAGCCTTCATCCCAAAGGCATTCCTCAATGGTGCTGTAATTACCATTGAAGCTGAAGATGTATCTTGAAAAGTAAACATGAACTCTACAAAAGTTGTCCTTTCGAGATTGTAGAGTAGCCAAGGACACCTGAATCATCAGTGTTGTCTTCCTTGCTTTTAAAAGCAACAGAAAAAAAGCAGGAAATATCATTCCTCCCCCCCCTGCTCTGGAAAGCAGAATGTTCTAGGGAACATCACAGTGGTATTTTATGCCTTGAACCAACATCTTACAAATGGATGTGTATATCGTTATATCAGAACATTATTGTGTTTCAGTCTCTGAGAATTATAAGGAGAAGATCAAGCATCTGGAAGAGGGTGTTTTTTTTGGGGGGGTGGAATTTCCAGAATCCTCCAGCAAGCATAGCCAGTAGAATTCTGTAGAGGATGAAGATAACTTTGTATAACTTATTTCTGTAGGTTCTGAAGATAACTATCCCAAGTTGTAAGGAGAACCCTTAGCTTGGCGGTTTGGAAGACAACAGCACAAAGAAGACTCCAAATTCTGTCCTTGATGTTTCTAGTTTAATGGCCTTTAAAGTTGTCCTGTGCTTAGACCAGTGTCTGTTGTGGACTGGATGAGGAAATGGAAGCTTAATCTGGATGAGACAGAGGTGCTACCCTGGTCAGTCAAAAGGCAAATCAGGGGCTAGGGATTCAGTCTGTACTGGATGGTGCTACACTCCTCCTGAAAAGTCAGGTCTGTATCCTAGGACTCAATCCTGAGCTTGGATGCATAGGTTTCAGCAGTGACCAGGGGTGCATTCGCATTGTTAAAGCCAGTGTGCCACTTGTACCTCTTCCTTGAGATGTCCAATCAGACTAAAGTGACAAATGTTACATTCTGTTTGGATAACTGCAATGCACTCTGTTTGGGGCTGCCTTTGATAGTGTTCAGAAACTTCATTTGGTTCAAAATGCTGCAGTCAGACTGCTGATTGTTGCTGGTTACAGGGAACATGTAACTCCTTTATTAAAACAACTTCACTGGCTTCCAATCTGTTTCTGGGCCCAGTTCAAAGCACTGGCTATTACCTATAAAACCCTGGCTTGGGGCCAGGCTATTTTAAATACATCACCCCATAGAAGC